CTTGTCGGGGGGGTCCTGGGCACCCCAATGGGGGTCCTGGGCACCCACTGCCCTTGTCGGGGGGGTCCTGGGCGCCCCAATGGGGGTCCTGGGCACCCACTGCCCTTGTCGGGGGGGTCCTGGGCACCCCAATGGGGGTCCTGGGCACCCACTGCCCTTGTCGGGGGGGTCCTGGGCACCCCAATGGGGGTCCTGGGCACCCACTGCCCTTGTCGGGGGGGTCCTGGGCGCCCCAATGGGGGTCCTGGGCACCCACTGCCCTTGTCGGGGGGGTCCTGGGCACCCCAATGGGGGTCCTGGGCACCCACTGCCCTTGTCGGGGGGGTCCTGGGCACCCCAATGGGGGTCCTGGGCACCCACTGCCCTTGTCGGGGGGGTCCTGGGCGCCCCAATGGGGGTCCTGGGCACCCACTGCCCTTGTCGGGGGGGTCCTGGGCACCCCAATGGGGGTCCTGGGCACCCACTGCCCTTGTCGGGGGGGTCCTGGGCACCCCAATGGGGGTCCTGGGCACCCACTGCCCTTGTCGGGGGGGTCCTGGGCGCCCCAATGGGGGTCCTGGGCACCCACTGCCCTTGTCGGGGGGGTCCTGGGCACCCCAATGGGGGTCCTGGGCACCCACTGCCCTTGTCGGGGGGGTCCTGGGCACCCCAATGGGGGTCCTGGGCACCCACTGCCCTTGTCGGGGGGGTCCTGGGCGCCCCAATGGGGGTCCTGGGCACCCACTGCCCTTGTCGGGGGGGTCCTGGGCACCCCAATGGGGGTCCTGGGCACCCACTGCCCTTGTCGGGGGGGTCCTGGGCACCCCAATGGGGGTCCTGGGCACCCACTGCCCTTGTCGGGGGGGTCCTGGGCGCCCCAATGGGGGTCCTGGGCACCCACTGCCCTTGTCGGGGGGGTCCTGGGCACCCCAATGGGGGTCCTGGGCACCCACTGCCCTTGTCGGGGGGGTCCTGGGCACCCCAATGGGGGTCCTGGGCACCCACTGCCCTTGTCGGGGGGGTCCTGGGCGCCCCAATGGGGGTCCTGGGCACCCACTGCCCTTGTCGGGGGGGTCCTGGGCACCCCAATGGGGGTCCTGGGCACCCACTGCCCTTGTCGGGGGGGTCCTGGGCACCCCAATGGGGGTCCTGGGCACCCACTGCCCTTGTCGGGGGGGTCCTGGGCGCCCCAATGGGGGTCCTGGGCACCCACTGCCCTTGTCGGGGGGGTCCTGGGCACCCCAATGGGGGTCCTGGGCACCCACTGCCCTTGTCGGGGGGGTCCTGGGCACCCCAATGGGGGTCCTGGGCACCCACTGCCCTTGTCGGGGGGGTCCTGGGCGCCCCAATGGGGGTCCTGGGCACCCACTGCCCTTGTCGGGGGGGTCCTGGGCACCCCAATGGGGGTCCTGGGCACCCACTGCCCTTGTCGGGGGGGTCCTGGGCACCCCAATGGGGGTCCTGGGCACCCACTGCCCTTGTCGGGGGGGTCCTGGGCGCCCCAATGGGGGTCCTGGGCACCCACTGCCCTTGTCGGGGGGGTCCTGGGCACCCCAATGGGGGTCCTGGGCACCCACTGCCCTTGTCGGGGGGGTCCTGGGCACCCCAATGGGGGTCCTGGGCACCCACTGCCCTTGTCGGGGGGGTCCTGGGCGCCCCAATGGGGGTCCTGGGCACCCACTGCCCTTGTCGGGGGGGTCCTGGGCACCCCAATGGGGGTCCTGGGCACCCACTGCCCTTGTCGGGGGGGTCCTGGGCACCCCAATGGGGGTCCTGGGCACCCACTGCCCTTGTCGGGGGGGTCCTGGGCGCCCCAATGGGGGTCCTGGGCACCCACTGCCCTTGTCGGGGGGGTCCTGGGCACCCCAATGGGGGTCCTGGGCACCCACTGCCCTTGTCGGGGGGGTCCTGGGCACCCCAATGGGGGTCCTGGGCACCCACTGCCCTTGTCGGGGGGGTCCTGGGCGCCCCAATGGGGGTCCTGGGCACCCACTGCCCTTGTCGGGGGGGTCCTGGGCACCCCAATGGGGGTCCTGGGCACCCACTGCCCTTGTCGGGGGGGTCCTGGGCACCCCAATGGGGGTCCTGGGCACCCACTGCCCTTGTCGGGGGGGTCCTGGGCGCCCCAATGGGGGTCCTGGGCACCCACTGCCCTTGTCGGGGGGGTCCTGGGCACCCCAATGGGGGTCCTGGGCACCCACTGCCCTTGTCGGGGGGGTCCTGGGCACCCCAATGGGGGTCCTGGGCACCCACTGCCCTTGTCGGGGGGGTCCTGGGCGCCCCAATGGGGGTCCTGGGCACCCACTGCCCTTGTCGGGGGGGTCCTGGGCACCCCAATGGGGGTCCTGGGCACCCACTGCCCTTGTCGGGGGGGTCCTGGGCACCCCAATGGGGGTCCTGGGCACCCACTGCCCTTGTCGGGGGGGTCCTGGGCGCCCCAATGGGGGTCCTGGGCACCCACTGCCCTTGTCGGGGGGGTCCTGGGCACCCCAATGGGGGTCCTGGGCACCCACTGCCCTTGTCGGGGGGGTCCTGGGCACCCCAATGGGGGTCCTGGGCACCCACTGCCCTTGTCGGGGGGGTCCTGGGCGCCCCAATGGGGGTCCTGGGCACCCACTGCCCTTGTCGGGGGGGTCCTGGGCACCCCAATGGGGGTCCTGGGCACCCACTGCCCTTGTCGGGGGGGTCCTGGGCACCCCAATGGGGGTCCTGGGCACCCACTGCCCTTGTCGGGGGGGTCCTGGGCGCCCCAATGGGGGTCCTGGGCACCCACTGCCCTTGTCGGGGGGGTCCTGGGCACCCCAATGGGGGTCCTGGGCACCCACTGCCCTTGTCGGGGGGGTCCTGGGCACCCCAATGGGGGTCCTGGGCACCCACTGCCCTTGTCGGGGGGGTCCTGGGCGCCCCAATGGGGGTCCTGGGCACCCACTGCCCTTGTCGGGGGGGTCCTGGGCACCCCAATGGGGGTCCTGGGCACCCACTGCCCTTGTCGGGGGGGTCCTGGGCACCCCAATGGGGGTCCTGGGCACCCACTGCCCTTGTCGGGGGGGTCCTGGGCGCCCCAATGGGGGTCCTGGGCACCCACTGCCCTTGTCGGGGGGGTCCTGGGCACCCCAATGGGGGTCCTGGGCACCCACTGCCCTTGTCGGGGGGGTCCTGGGCACCCCAATGGGGGTCCTGGGCACCCACTGCCCTTGTCGGGGGGGTCCTGGGCGCCCCAATGGGGGTCCTGGGCACCCACTGCCCTTGTCGGGGGGGTCCTGGGCACCCCAATGGGGGTCCTGGGCACCCACTGCCCTTGTCGGGGGGGTCCTGGGCACCCCAATGGGGGTCCTGGGCACCCACTGCCCTTGTCGGGGGGGTCCTGGGCGCCCCAATGGGGGTCCTGGGCACCCACTGCCCTTGTCGGGGGGGTCCTGGGCGCCCCAATGGGGGTCCTGGGCACCCACTGCCCTTGTCGGGGGGGTCCTGGGCACCCCAATGGGGGTCCTGGGCACCCACTGCCCTTGTCGGGGGGGTCCTGGGCGCCCCAATGGGGGTCCTGGGCACCCACTGCCCTTGTCGGGGGGGTCCTGGGCACCCCAATGGGGGTCCTGGGCACCCACTGCCCTTGTCGGGGGGGTCCTGGGCACCCCAATGGGGGTCCTGGGCACCCACTGCCCTTGTCGGGGGGGTCCTGGGCGCCCCAATGGGGGTCCTGGGCACCCACTGCCCTTGTCGGGGGGGTCCTGGGCACCCCAATGGGGGTCCTGGGCACCCACTGCCCTTGTCGGGGGGGTCCTGGGCGCCCCAATGGGGGTCCTGGGCACCCACTGCCCTTGTCGGGGGGGTCCTGGGCGCCCCAATGGGGGTCCTGGGCACCCACTGCCCTTTTCAAGGGGGTCCCGGGCACCCCACCTCCCTGATACGGGGGTCCTG